TTGCAGATGTATTGAATTAACTTGATATTTCTGATACAGTCCCGATCAAATGTTTAAGACCACTTGAATAATGGCAAAAAAGTCATATTTTGCATGGTTGGGTTGTAACAAGATTCCAAGTAGAGCTCCAACATGCAACAAGAAGAAATGGGAGTGTGACAAAACATTTTTTGAGCATGCAATTTATGGAAAATAACCCTTAAACTGAAACAGGCTGATCAAAGGTTTAGGACTGCATATCTTTAAGAAGCCAAATCTATGCAAAAATGTGGATTCATTTTCTGTCAGGTAGTCACACTGCCATGACATTCTGGAAAAAAGTCAGGTCAGGTTGTTTAATAATTTAATCTATATTTATCCCCAAATATTTTTGACTTTCTAACACATTACAACACAAACACAAACAGCTTTTAGCAGCTGATGTGCATTTTTAGACCTCCATTAGTGTTTGAGAGCATCAGAGATAATTGATCTAAAACTGCTCCCAACGTTACACCATCACCGCATGATGATGATACAATGCAAATGTGGGCTGTGATGATTCATATTTCCCAGTAATCTGATTTCTATAGCTAATAAACCAGAAAATGCTCGCTAGCAGGTCACTCATCACACACAAACGCTCATTTTTCATGTTACATGTCTGAGGACAATCTTTCATACCTCTCGAGTGCCGACCTTCTCTTCTCTACAAACTCGTTGGATGACTGGTCCTCCTTCCCCACCTTCACCTTTGTCATCCCTGCACAAGAGAAGCTCATTAACATACCTGAACAACAAACAGGTTAAGGACGGGGCATTTACATGAACACATGCATACGTATGTTGTCAGTTTTCTCACAGCCTCCTCATGCTTGTAGTCTTGTTTTTCCTCTCTGACATTAATATTGTTTTTCAGTGTATTAATTAAAAATTAAAAACATGTAAGTGAATATTTTGTATTAATACATGAAATTTCCTGTAAACATTATACATATTAAACTTTATATATTAATAACATTATGACAATAAATTACTGTTATCTTTATATATTAATAGCAGTGTTATGGACCACATGCTCTTTCATGTGCTCATTATACAGCTCTACTGTCCTTTGCAAAATTAAATGGTTGGCTAGCTAGATGTATTTAAGGATATTTTAATACAGATAATCATGCTCCAGGGAGCAGAGACACATTTGTGTGTCTACTGTTTCAGGGTGCAGTTCACAGGGCATTCCCTGACAGTTAATTTGGGGCTTTATCTCAGTGCAGTTTAACTCTGGGCAGCCCACATTATCTGGATACGAACCCTCTGACAGGTGTGACAGAAAAGCATTGTTAAGTATAGACACTTTGGACAGTGTCATAATTGTAAATTGCCAAAATAGATTTGAAATGAACCAATCCAGACGCGGTTAAAGAGCAGACCTTCAACTTGAAGTCACAGGGTTGGAATTTCAGACATTCGTATACATAGACAGTTCTGTATTTTCAGGGGTTCAAGGTAAATTCAATAAATCATAGATTGGTTTCTTTTCACATAATAAGTTAAAATTGTTACACTTTTCAAACATTTATGCACTTCGCTGTAAATGGTTAGTGAGGAGGACCCAAATGCTCTGTTCTTAGTGAGGCTGAGGGATGAGTATCACGTCCCAGCGCTGTGACTAATGACTGATTTGCTTCATCTGTGCAGGTCTTAGATTGCAGTTAAAATGAAATTAATGAAGAGGTTTTTTATTTTTTTTTGCAGATACTGAAATCTTCCCAGGGGTCGAGCAGGTGCTGCATTTACTCACCTACGATGCTTTTCTCCGGTGCAGGGGGGACGATGTAGCCTATGTGCAGGTACTTGGAGGCCAGTTTACTGTGCAGACCCAGAAAGTCACTGAAACGCCTTTTTACAGCAAACTCATCTCGCTTAAACAAGGACATGGAGGTCTGAACGAGCGACATAAAAGGAAAGACAGAGAGCGATAAATTATGAGTAGAAGAAAACAACGTCTGAAATATGGCTTTCAGCCATCGCTGCTTTTAGGAAGAGTTAATTTAATGAATACATTTTGTAAAAATATAATTTAAAAAATTGGATTTTTTGATTAGTAAAATGTTTTTCTCCTAGCTAAAGATAACTGAACATTAAAGCAATGTTTAAAAAGAGAATGATAAGTCGCCCTTGCTATACCACCTTTATGTTAGAAATATAAATTACAAAAATAAATGTTAAACAAAAATCAACATTATGTGAATATGTTGTATAATAATCTCACCTTGGTCGTCACTTTGTAGGCCATATATGCATTCATCCCATCACCTGGAACACACAGAAAGCTGATTCACACTAAAATAATTACTCTAATTACTCAATTTCCTCACTAGTATTTACACAAACCAGTGAAACACACACACACACATATTGTGTCACTCTTAAAGAAGTAATTATACACCAAGAAAAATATCTGACTGATGTAACAGGAATACACTCTGATCAGATGCCAGACTAGTTAAACTGGTTTCATGTGTTTCCTTGCGGTGATAGACAAGCATCAGCAATTTACTGTTTAATGTTCCTTGTTTGACCTTTATATTTATTTAAAGGGACTGTGCCTGTTGAATAACTAATGACAGAGTTTGTTCAGGGCTCTAGCAGGGCTGCAAAGCTCCGGTGCCAATGCTTAGTGTAATAATTTCCTGCATGATGACCAAGATTGTGACTAAGCAGACTGTTGGTGTCTACTCTGCATTTTTCTTCATCTCTCAATTTGTGGTGGAAGCCGATGAAAACAGAAGAAGCTGAAGTGAAACGGAGGAGAGGAAATGCAATAGAGTAACAGGGGGCTGATGGGAAATGTAGGCTTAGTGAGTGAGAGAACCATCTCGTAATGTTGCCAAAATCAGTTGCATTTCTGGCTCTGGGAAGCATCTCGGAGATCTTTGCGTGGATATGTCATGATGTGAAGCCATGTACTCACCAACTTTCTCTGGGTCAGACACCGATATGTGAATGTCAAAAGAATCTCCGCCCTCCTCTTCTTCAATCTACAGAAAATAGGAGCAAAACGTTTCCCAATTTTATTCCTCCAGGGAAATTGTGTTAGTGTCTGACATCGGCACAACAGCAAGATGAATATTTAATGAAGACAACAGGGAAAAAATGCACTTTGTATATTTAGCAACTGATGTCCTTTAGCTACTAACCGATAATATTACAGTAGAAATGTGAATCACATCTAAAGTTATAAAGTGTAATCTGGGACTTTTTCAAAACAACATTTTTGATTAATTTATTTTTTTGACTCCACTCAACACTGAAGTATATGTGTGAACAATTCCCCATTCAGCAGGGATTTTTTTACTTTCTGCCAAATACTTTTTCTAAATAAATGCATGTTTTCTTTAAGAAAGGATGAAAAAA